ACCCTAAACTTATCTCTAATTGTGTCTATTTTTAAACCTTACCCTATCCCTAACCCTAACCCTGTCACTAACACTAACTTTAAGCCTGTCCCTAATCCTAATCTTAAACCTAAACCTAACCCTAAATCTGCCACTACATCTAACCCTAACCATAATCCTGGCCCTTTTCTTAACCATGACCCTCTCCCTAACACTAACACTGATTTTAAACCCAACTGTTTCCCAAAGCCTAACCCTAACCCTAAAACTGAACCTAACCGTGTCCCTGACCTTAAGCCTAACCAGTTCCGAACCCTAACCCTAACTTTAACTCTAACACTAAACCTAACACTGTCCTTAATCCTAACCCTAACACCAACCCAAACCCTGTCCCTAAACATAATCCTAACCCTAACCCTGTCCCTAACCCTAACCCTAACCCTAACCGTGTCCCAAACTTGACACTAACCCTAACCCTAACTCTAAAACAGACCCTAACCCTGTCTGTAACCCTGTCCCTAACCATAACACTAACCCTAAACCTAATCGTGTTTTTAACCCTAACTCTGTATCTAACCCTAACCCTAACCCTAACGATGTCCCAAAACCTAAACCTTTTCGAAACCTGTCCCTAAATTTAACTTTTTCACTAACCTTGTCACTAACTCTAACCCAAATCCTAAGCATAGCATAACATGTCACTAATCCTAACCCTAACCTTGTCCCTATCCCTAACCCGAATCCTGTCCTTAACCCTAACCCTAAACGTGTCCCTACCCTATACCTAATTTTAAACCTAACCCTAACCCTGTCCCTAACCCTAAACATAACTCTAATCCTATTTCTACCCCTAAATCTAATATGTACCAACCCTAAGCCTAACCCTAACCATAACTCTTACCTTGTTTCTAATTCTAACCCTGTCTCTAACCCTAAACTTGACCTTGTCCCTAACACTAACCCAGATCATAACACTATCCCTAACCTTGTCTCTAACCCAACCTTAACTCTAACCCTAACTTTAACCCTTACCATGTTTCTAATCTTAACCTTAAACTTGTCCCTAAACGTAACCATAACCATAACCATAACCATAACTTTGTTCCTAATTCTAAACCTAACACTAACTGTATCTTTAACCGAAACCATAACCATGTATCTAACCCTAACACTAACTCTTACCAGTCCCTAAACCTAACCCTAAAGCTCACCCTACTTCTAACATAACCGTGTCCCTATACCCAACCCTACCCTGTCCTTAACCCTAATGTTAACCCTAACCCGGTCCATAACTTTAACCCTAACCTTATCCTGTCCCTAAACCTAACCTTAACTGTAACCCTAACCCTGTCCCTAACCCTATCCCAAATCCTGTCACTACCCCTAACCTAACCGTGTACCTAAACCTAACCCTAACTCTAACCCTAACCCTAACCTTAACCATACCCATAACCCTGATCCTAGCCCTAAACCTAACCCTAACCCTAATTCTGTCCCTAACCCTAACCCTAACTCTAACCCTGTCCCTAACCCTAACCATAACCTATTACCTAATCCTAAACCTAAACCTAACCCTAACTTTCTTCATAATCCTAACCGTAAACTTAACTATATCCCTAACTCTAACAATAACCCTAACCTATCCCTAACACTAACTGGAACCCTAACCTTAACTGGAACCCTAACCCTAGCCCTAGACATATCCCTAACTCTAATCCTGACCCCAACCCTTTCCCTAACCCTAATTCTAACGCTAGCCCTAACGCTGTCCCTGAACCTAACCCTAAACCTAACTCTAACTTTAACACTAATGTGGCCCTTACCCTAAAACTAACCCTAACTCTCACCATGTCTTTAACCCTAACCCTAACTTAGTACTTAACCCTGTCACTAACCATAACCATAACCATAACAGTAATTTTGTCCCTAATTTTTACCATAATCCTAAACTTAATCGTGTCTCTAAACCTAACCCTGATGCTAAATCTAACCCTAACCCTAATGCTAACACTGTTTTTACCTCTAACACTAACCTTAACTCTAATTCTGTTTTTAACTCTAAACCTAACACTAAACCTGACCCTAATCCTGCCCTAACTCGAACACTAACCCTCTCCCTAATACTGAACCTAACCTTAACCCAAACCCTAATCCTATACCTACCCTAACTTTACTCCTAACCTTGTTTCTAACCCTGACCCTAACACTAACCCTAACCCTGTCCCTAACCCTCACCTTTCACTAATCCTCTCAATAACTCTAACCCTAATCCTACCCATACCCGAACCTTGTCACTAACACTAACCCTAAACTTGTCCCTAACACTAACCCTAATCCTGTACTTAACCATAATCCTAGCCGTGTCCCTAACCCTACCCTTACTCTAACCCTAAACCTAACCCTGTCCCTAAACCTAAGCATAACTATTACCCTGTCCCTAACCCTAAAACTAACCCTAACCCTATCCCTAATCCTAACCCTAACCCTGATTCTAACCCTCACTCTAATATTGTACCAAACCCTAAACCTACCCTAACCCTAACCTTAACCTTGTCCCAAACCCTAACCCTGTCTCTAACCCTAAACATGACCTTGTTCCTAACCCTAACTCTGACCCTAACACTAACCCTAACCTTGTCCCTAACCCTAACTCTAAACCTAACCCTAACACTTACTGTGTCCCTAACACTAACCTAACGCTGTCCCTAAACTAAACCATAACCCTAACCCTAAACTAGTCCCTAATTTTAAACCACCCTAAACGTTCCTGTAACCCAAACCCTAACCTTGTCTCTAACCTTAACCCTATGCTAAACCTAATCCTGTCCCTAACCCTTACCCTGTCCTTAATTCTAAACCTGACCTTGTCTCTAACACTAACACTGACACTAACACTAACTATAACGGTGTCCCTAACCCTAGCACTTAACATGTCCTTAACCCTAACAAAAACCCTGTCCCTAAAACTAACCCTAACCCTAACCTTGTCCATAATTCAAAACCTAACCATAACCGTGTCCCTAACTCTGCCCCTAACCCTAACCATAACCTTAAACCGACCATATCCCTAACCCTAACCTTAACCTTGTTTCTAACACTATCCCTAACCCTAACCCTAACCGGTTCCCTAACCCTAAACCTAACCCTTATCCTGTCCCTAACACTAACCCTAACAGGTACCCTAACCCATTCGTAACCCTCTCAATAACTTTAACCCTAATACTTACCCTACCCCTAACCCAAATTCTAATCATGTCCCTATCTCTAACCCTAACCCTAGTCCTAACCCTAACCCTGTTTCTAAGTGTAACTCTTTTCCTAATTCTGGCCCTAACCCTAATTCTTTCATTAACCCTGTTCCTTACTCTAACACTAATCCTAACCCTCACCCTAACCCTGTCACTAAACTTAAACCTAACCCTGTCCTTAACCTTAAACCTAATCCTGTCCTTAACCCTAACCCTAAGCACGTGCCTAACCCTACCCCAAATCTAACCCTAAACCTAACCCTGTTTCTAACACTAACCATACCCTAACACTGCTATTAAACCTAAACGTAACCCTAAACCTAACGTTGCCTCTTATCCTAACCCTAACACTATCCCTGTTCCTAACCCTAACTCTAATATTGTACCTCACCCTAAACCTAACCCTAACCCTAAACTTGTCCCTAACCTAAACGTGACCTTGTCGCTAACACTAATTCTGATTCTAATACTAACCCTTACCATGTCCCTATCCCTAGCTGTAATCCTAACCCTAACACCTACCATGTTCCTAACCCTAGCCCTGTCCCTAAACCTAACTTTAACCCTAACCCTAACCTTGTCCCTAATCCTAAACCTAACCGTAACAGGGTACCTAACCTAAACCCTAACCTTGTCTATAACGCTAACCCTAACCTAACCCTAACTCTGTCCCTAAACCAATCCCTAAATCGAACCCTAACCCTCAACCTAACTGTGTCCCTAAGCCTTACTCTACCCTGTCCCTAACCGCAAGGTTAACCCTAACCTTGTCCCTAACATTAAACCTAACCCAGTCCCTAAAGCTAACCCTATCTTGTTCCTAACCTTAGCCTAACCTTGTTACTAAACCTAACCCTAACCCTAATTCTGCCCTCACTACCCATAACCCTAATCCTGTACCTAACCCTAAACAAAACCCTAAAAATGTCTCTAACCATAACCCTAACCCTGTACCTAACCGTAAACCAAAACCTAACCCTAAACCTAACCCTGTTTATAATGCTAACCCTAACCCTAACCCTATCCCTAACTCTAACCCTAACCCTAACCTGTTCCTAATTCTAAGCATATCCCTAAACTTAATCCTAATCCTAAATTTAACCCTGTCCCTAACCCTAGCCTTAACGCTAATCCTAACCCTGTCCCTGAACCTAACCTTAAAACTAACCCTAACCCTAACGTTGCCCTAACCCTAATCCTAAACCTAACCCTCACCGTGTCCCTAATCCTAACCCTAACTTTGTCTGTAACCCTGTCACTAATTCTAACCCTAACCATAACAGTAACCCTGTCCCTAATCCTAACTGAAACCGTATCATGTCTGTAACCCTAACCCTATCTCTATCTTAACCCTAAACCTCACACTAACCCTGTCTTTACCCCTAACCCTAACCCTAATCCTAATCCTGTCCCTAAAACTGATTTTGTCCCTAACCCTGTCCCTAATCCTGTTCCTAATCCTAAATCTAACTGTAATTTTGTCCGTAACCTTTAACCTAACCCTGTCCCTGTCTTTAACCGTTAATGCTAACCCTGTTACTAACCCTAACACTTACCTTAAACCAGTCCCTAACCCTAAACCTGACCCTAACTCTAACCCTAACCATAAGCTTGTCCATAATCCTAACCCTAACATTAAGCATCGGTTGTGTGCATCCGTGATTTCCCCCTTGAAATCCTCTCTCCTAGAGTCCAAGGGCATGCGCCATACCCAAGGGTGTTCGTGTGTTGCTCCATCTTTCAGTCTGTTGTTTTGATCTGGCTCTTTTGCAGTCAATGAGGGTCGTCCCAGGCTGGACGGAGGACGACAGTGCCTAAGGAAGGACTGTTGGTGAAGGGCGCACCAGCTGAGACAGAGGCGGACGGAAAGGTGGAACGTGTGAGCTGTCTGTTGGCACAGGATCTGAAGATAGGCCAGGTGGGTGTCTTGGTGCCCAGGTGCAGGGAGACAGATGGTTGTCCCCTGGGCTTGGGTCATTGGTGCCAAGAATGGGCATGGCCCTGGCAACAGAAAGCCGCCCAAGAGTGGTGAAAAAAAGATGGAGGCCTGCGCAGACACGCAGCCATGTACTTGGGCATTAAGAACGGTGATGGCGGCAGCAAATGGTTGCGGTCTGCAGGCTTTTGGGACAGAGCAGGAAGAGGACGGTGGGAGGGCCATCTGGAGGGCCTCGGCATGTGGTCCGTGATGCCAGGCTGTAGGGCGGGCTATGGACTCGCAGATGGCCTGGGGGACTGGCGGTGGGATGGGAGTCTGCAAAGGGGCAAGGGACAGGAGGTGTTGGGATGGATCCCCGTTGGGGACAGTGGCAAAAGGCAGGGGAGCCAAAAGCCCACAGCACCCTGTATTCCCAGGCTGTCTCCCATCCAAGTACTAACCAGGCCCAACCCTTCTTAGCTTCCGAGATCAGATGAGACTGGGCGCATCAGGGTATGGCCATAGGCTCTGGGACACGGCGTCGGATGCCACAAGAGCCGCGGGCAGGTCTGCCTGGTGAGCGCACACCACACTGCTAGGCCACTGGGCCCTCGCGAACAGGCCTGCTAGCACTCCTCGGCGGCCTGATTTGCCCGCACTGTGCCTTCCACCTCCCCCCTCACCCACCTCATCCAGAAGCCGCTGGCGTGCACGGCGGCCCATCCAGGCTGGCAGCAAGCCTCCTTCATTTGCCAAGCCAGGGGCACAATGGGCCTCTACTGCTAACCTGGGGATCACAAAATTTTCAGTGCTCTGGCATCCAGGTTCTCCCCAGGCCCCAACCCACTTGCCTCCACACACCCACCTGGCTGCACTGTGATCCGCTGCTCAGAGCAACCGAGGCTCACGTCTTCTCAGGCCTCTGGGATTCTAGGCACACACACCTCGGCCTCAACCTTGGCCCTGGTCCCAGCACCGGCACTGGCCTGGGTCCTAGCCCTGGCCGACCCTCCTGGCCAGCTAGACTGGCCGTGAATCACTGGAGCCATCAGCACAACCAGCGTTCATCAGCTCCAGACCGCCGCCACCATTCTTAGACAACCTGCCCCATCGCCCATCACCTGGACCAGCACCCTGCCCACTCTCACCTTCCTTCCCTACACATCAGCTCTCCTGACCTGCCTTGCTGAGGGAGATAATGAGAGAAGGTGAGAGAGAAAGCAAGACAGAGACAGAGAGAGACAGACAGAATGAGAGAAGGAGAGAGGGAGGATTATGAAGACAGGCAGAGAGAGAGGGAAGGAGAGACAGAGGGAGAGAGAGGCAATGCAGGGAGAGAGAGAGAGAGAGAGAGAGAGAAAACAAAACACAGAGAAACACACACGGAGAGAGAGAGGCTGAGGGAGCCAGCAGAGTCATAAATTTTTCATAACTCAGTTTTGGAAATGACAGTCCATCATTTTGTTTTGTGTATCCATTAGAACCCAGTTACAAAGCATGGCCAGTCTCAAAAGGAAGGGCTCACACAGAGATGTGTGTCATGTAGGCAGGTACACTGAGAGCCATTGAGGGCCACCCACCACGTAGGCTGAGATGAGGCACTTGGCCCCGAGTCTAAACATAATGGAGCCGCTGAAATATTCTGTGCCAGAGGATACGATGTTGGAATTTGAGTTCATTACAACCCTCCTGAGATAGGGGCAGGAGGGCAATGAGAGTCCCTGGGTGCCATGGCAGACCCAGCCCATATGCGCTGTGTTCTGACCTCTGCCCAGCACACACATCATCTGTCAGGTCTGCACCCTACATCATGTGACCCCAGCCCAGGGGTTCTAGGCACTACTGGTGTTTATAGTTGTGATGACAGCCCGTGAAGTCGCTGCTAGAACGACTTGCACTATGCACATGGGGACACTGGGGAGGCCCTGAGAGTACGTGCTTGTCAGGGTCACAGGAGCAGAAGCCAGCTCTAAACCCAGCTCTGTGTCCTCAAACCTGGGGCCCTGGCTGCACCCAGCCAGGCCTCCCTAGGGTGCTCATGTGGGCTGTGTTGGTGTAACTGTGTATGGACTTGGTGTGCGGGGTAGGGTGAGCAGTCACCAATCCAGAGAGTCTTTGGAGAGCTCTTGTATGAGGAGGAAGTCCACGGAGGGGACCCCAGGCAGTGATCTCACTTCCTGATCAGAAAGCCCAACAGAACGTGGAGCCCTGGTAACAAGCAGCCACATGCTGGAGAAGCCCATCCCCAGCTCATTTTGCTGAAGATCTGGAAATAGTAACATATTTCTTTGCTGCATCACCATGTCCCGAGGCAGTGTCCTCAGGAAAGACCAAAGTTAGAACTCTTTCCCATGTTTTGGTCACTGGGTCAGCACTCACCACAAACGCTTCTTGCCATTTTCCCAGGGGACTTCAAAGGTAACACAGGGAGGCCCAGGGCATCCCAGGCCAGAACAGACAGGCCAAGCTAGGCCACCACACTGAACCCACCCTGACAGCCCTTGGACTCCTCTCCATGTGTTTGTGTGTGTGTGTGAGGGGGGTGGGAGGGGTCTTTGTTCGGTCTACTTTCTCCAAGTCCCTCAGGTGTAAGATTAGACCATTTATTTGAGAATTTTCTTGTTTATTCAGGTAGGCCTGTATTGCTATGAATTTTTTCTTAGAACTGCTTTTACTGTGTGCCATAGATGTGCGATAATTGTGTTTTCATTTTCTTTTGGCTCAAGGAATTTTTTTTTTTTTGCTTGATAGGTTTATGTTTTATTTTTTTATTTTTTTTCCTTTTTTTATTGTTAGTTTCAGGTGTACAGAACAATGCAATAGTTACCCTTTTCACCCTCACAAAGTAACAACCCCCCTCCCCCCATCCACT